AATTCACATTTTTATTTGTTGAATAGAAAAGTTATTCAATTTTTTAAAAATGAGAATTTGTTCTTTTTCATCATTACAATATCTAACGAAAATAATTTTCCATATTTTAGCTATTATTTATTTGCGATAACGAATAGACGTATTGAATAAATTCGATTTACTTTGATTACGTGAGTAGAGACTAATTTTGTTATTTCTTATTCATGAATGAATGATAATTCAACAATAATTCAGATTTTTTTATTTATTATTCAATGTAACTTTCATCTAACAGCTTTCTATTCTACCGACGTTATTCCGACGTTATACCGACGTTATACCGACAGTATCGATACATTTGTTCACGACAACGATTGGCCGTCATATTCGAAGCTGTCGCTCACGCTATCGCGCGACCGGTCTATACGCGTTCTCATTGGTCAGTGTTTTTCATTAATAATTCAAAAACTAAGTTTTAACCAGCATTTTGGTAAAGCAAAAAGTTGTTCAGAATCACTCCAGCTACCACCCCCTAAAATTATGCCCACCAGTAGCCGAACACCCTGTATATCATTGTCTCAAAACCAAAAGTTCTCAAAAAATTCTTTTATTTGTTTTATCCATAAACAATTGAACCGAATCAATAATATCAGTATGACGATCATGTTAATTGTGTAACTATCAAGATATCGAAAAATAACTGCGGAAAAAAGCTATTCATCGTTGAGAAAACAGAATATTGATGAGACAGAAGTGCCGATTACAAATGTCATTTAACATCCGAATTGTTCATCCAGGAAACGAGTAGCATTCGAGTGGAGCTGGCTGAACTGACAATTATTACAAGCTACCGCTTCCCAAGCCGCTGATCGATGGACGCCCGTTGTTATAACTACTGTTTACCAATTAGTTGTTGCACAATTATAATTGCTAATTGCGCACACCTCTGCACGACGCTTGCCAATGGCTCCGGTGCTATTCATTTGCGCGCGAAATCAGCCCGCAAGCGTACGAGCCGTTAATTTTAAACCGTGCTCAACAAAAATAATCGAAGTGAGAATGGCAAGTTAATACGTAAATTGAATTTTGTTTAATAGTGCACTGGCCAAGTTAGTTTAATCTCTTCTTTTTGTTCATTTCATTGATATACCAATTTACTGATACATTATTTTTGTATGTTTCATGTTATTTCTCTATTTGAGAGAAAAATGAACTCGAGTTCTCTTTCGTTGTTTTAAAAAAAAAATTAGAAAAATTTGAAGACTTACAGATTTTTTTTATAAAAATCGATTGAATGTAAAAAGGTTACTAGAAATAAAAATATTTTAAACACTTTACATCGATAAAAATGAAATAAAAAATACTAAAAAATTAATAATATATAAGAAGATAATGTCCACATTTATTGCCATCGAGTGTTAAATTTAATACAGATCTAAGCTAATGATTTTCACACTTGATATCACTTAAGAGGAATGTTCATATGGTTATTTCGATTGAACAGTGCGTAATTCTATCACTATGAATGATATGATGTCAGAGGAATATTGGCAGATCGTATCGATGATAATAATAGTAGACTTACGGATATTCGATAACGAAATGCGATCTCAAGTGACATCAAGTATAAAAGTCGCAGAATAATGCAAGAAAGGACTAAAAATTCAAGTCCAAAGAGGTTAAAGTAATCGACACAATTCACAATAATTTAGTAATCTAAGTATAAATCGATCAGCACCAAAAAATACAATTTCCACAAATTTTCTCAGCTGAAACAAATTAAATATGATATTAAAAAATAAATACGTATAAAATAATATTGAACCTGTTCTTGCTAAAATAACGTTTGTCAATGATCTGTCACAGCACAATTTACCTTCCATATTTTGCCGCGTCACTAATCAGCTCACTCTAAATCAGCGAGAAACATGCTTAACGAGCAACAGATAGCAATTTGTATTCACGGTATAACGCATCGAATTCATATTTCCTCCAGAGTTTCCTCCAGCAACAGATTCACCGACACAACGATCGATAAGTTTCCGTGTAGACAAGCGTTCGTCTTCGACAAGGTTCGTGTTCCTCTACTGGATATTTTCCTCGCCTAGTCGGCTCCCAGGATCTCCAGAATGGTCTTTTTGTCCCGCAAGTATAAAGCGAAGGCTGTGGAGAAAGAACGAAACTGGCGGTGACCCGAAGAAGATGGCGCCGGATGCGCTTCAGGTGTGATGCGAAATTGATACGAGAAGCTGTTGAGATTGATTTCCACGTCACGGAACATGTGATGACAGTGTGTTGGCAATCCCCGTGGACAATCCCAACTTACTCAGGACTGTCTTTGCAAGGACTACGCGCACGGTTCTTTCAATCCTGGATGGAAATAAGTCTGAAAATGAAAGGAGAATACCCGACTTCCCCATGGGAAATGTAACCATCTTGTTCCTCGTTTCATGAATCTCCGAGACAGATATTCCTCTCTGCGGCTAAGGCGGTTCTAAGAATGGAATTGTTTCAGGCAAGATGGTGTACACGTCTTCGTGTCTATTAAGATCGATCACGATTCAATTTTGTCGTATTTGGAAAGAGGATGTTGAGAAATATCTTTTACTTAGGCGCTTCATCGGTCGATTTACTCATCAGTTTAGCATGAAATATTCTATTTATAATCAAGAATAAATTAATAGTATTTTTGTTCATGGTTTATGTAGATACGATACACTTTCCTTTTAATGAAAATTACTATTATACTTATTTTAATAAAATTACTGTTACATTGGTTTTAATGAAATTTACTATTATACTGGTTTCAATAAAATTACTGTTATATTGGTTTTAATGAAATTTACTATTATACTGGTTTTATTGAAAATTACTGTTAGATCGGTTTTAATAAGTGTGGAATTTAGTGTTTAAGAATTAAATTTAGTAATTTAAAAACATAGGATCTTAAAAGCTTAGGAACAGAAATACACATGCACGAAAATGCTAAATTTTAACTCGTGTAACAACTTTGAAAACATCTGACTTCAGAAATTTAAGAAGGTGAAAATTTTGTAATATAAGAAACAAAAATATTACAAATTCTAAGGTTAAAAATGACAAATTCTAAGGTTAAGAAAATTAGAAGTTGAAAGTTTTAGTAAAAATTTTGTATTTTCAAACTCACAAACTTTTTCATTTAGAATTTCGATAGTGTAGAAATCGAAAGAAGGAAATTAAAAAATTTATAATATAAAATTTTGAAATTGCAAACTCAGAAAATTATAAATATAAAAATTTGAAATTACAAGTTGAAAAATACGTAAATTTACGAACATAAAAATTTTAAATTCGAAATATAAAATTGAGTAAATAGCTGACTATCAATATCCGCCATCTTTCTTATTTCTTATTTTAAGTCATAGAAATTAAGAGACGTTTATTGATATCCATATTAACTTTTATCAGAATGAAGAATAATTGAATAGGTTAAAGATAGAGTTAGATTGTATGCAAATGATATGGAAGTAAGATTATACGAAGTTAAAGGTACAGTTAGACTCTTAAAGGTAGAGTTAAGCTCTAAATGGCGTTAGAGTTAAAAAGTACCTTTTGAATTATAGCAGCTACAACCAGGTGTAACAGTGATATAAATGTACAAGAAAGATTATCAGTGCAATATATTAACTAGAAAACAATGGCTACTTCATTTAAAAATCTTAAAAGTATAAATTAGTTGAAACTTCATTCCATATATATTTGTACTTTATTTATAATCTAAAGTCCGTAAACCTAATACTAACACATTCACTTTCTTCAAATTCTATCGCATTCCAACCATCTACGTATACAAACTGTATTGCTGCATAATAGATGAACCAGTCAAAAGTTGAAACTCGCTCCAGTTTAAACACGTGGTGTTAATAATGAACGAGTCCGTTTGATATTCGAGCCTACTCGCAGAGATATTTGCCTCGCTAGGTAAAATACGTAGAGTTCATGTTCGCTGACTAGAATAAAGAATCGGTCCTGACCACTCTACCCTAGATTCCGTTCGTCGATACGGTCAAAGTTAAGGAAGATGCCGAAAGGATATCAGGATCACGGCGATTCAGCACGAATGCCACGAGAGGTTAGGCGATCTCGAACCGGAAAACTGATTCCCCTCGGTGCAACCGTTCGAAAAGTGAACCTTTCATAGATTTTTCTTACCAATGGATAACCTAACCACTTGGACTCTGAAACGTAAGGAGATCGATTGGCTCGCGGTGCTGGAAGATTGAATCAACGACGAAACGAGGAAATCGTTTTGTAATACTTTCTGCATGATTGGACTCTTGTGACTGGGTCTTAGGATACGAACTACAATAAGATGTACTTTCAACGGACAAAGGATTACGATCTTTTACAGATGGGATTTTATTTACTTGTTTTGGAGAAATGATCAGTTAGGGATAAAGGATAGGCGGAGAAGAATAGGATGTTGGATGTTTTGGGAATTTTGAGGATTTTGAAATTTGGGAAGCTTTTTAGATTTTGGAATTTGGTGATTGGGTAATTTATAGATTTGGGAATTTTTGGGTTTGGGAAATTTGGAACGTAGGTATTTTGAAATTGGGAATTTTGAAATTTGGGAATCTGGTGATTTGGCAATTTTAAGATTAAAAATTTAAGAATTCTGAGATTTGGAAATTTTAGGATTTGGATATATCAAAATTCGAAAATTTTAGCGTTTGGAAATGTTAGGATGCGAAATTTTTTTTAATTTTATGAGTTCGGAATTTAAGAATTTTCCGAATTTAGAAATGTTGACATTTTGAAATCTTATGATTTGGCAACTGAAGGATTTAGGAATTTCAGGATTTTATAATTTAGGGATTTAGAAATTTAGAAATTTGGAAATTTGGAAATTTGGAAATTTTTGAATTGAGGGATTTTGAGATTTGGAAATTTGAAATTTGTCAATTTTGGTGTTTTGGAAATTCAGAATTTCGAACTTTTGAAACCATGCAAATTTTAAACTATAGAATTTTAGAACTTTGAGTGATTAGAATTTCGAAACGATGGAAATTCTAAAATTTTTAAATCTTGGAACTAAATGATTTGATATTCCAAATTTTTGCAACTTTTAAACTTTGATGTCTTAATAATATACAATTTTTTAATTTAGAATTTTGAAACGTTGCATTTTTAGGACTGCAAAATTTTTAATCTTGAAATCATTTTTAGAATCATTATTTTCAAAAATGAAGCCGTGTGAAAAAATTGCAATGCACGAGTCTAACACTAAATTTAAACTGTAGTGTTCTTTCTAAATTTAAACAAAGAATAAGAATTCCATAAAATTGAAAGTGAATTGATTAATTTGGGAAAAGGATCCATTTTTATTTATTAAAAATAATTAAATTATTATTTTAAATAGCTAAAATAAATTGTTTAGAAATATTTAATATAAAATAACATTTTATAATATAATAATATAAAATATTATTATATTTTATAATTAATATTATATATAGTAATATAATTAATTATAATTAATATGTATAATATAATAATACTTTTCTAACTACGTAGCTAAAAACATTTGATTAATCCCTAAAAGCAAATAAATTGCTTAGAATGAATTAGTTAAAAATATTTAAATTTGTGCACTAAATAGCTAAATAATTAAATGAATAAAATAAATAAATTGCTTAATCCAAAAAGAATGAATTTCTACTTATTAAAAATATTTAAAGTAGCTACCAATAATACATACGTATTTGTTACATTACCCGTTACGGTTGCGCCGTAAAGAAGCCATGTTTGAAATATAACGCTATTCGCCGCAGTTGATTCCGGTTGGAAATTAATACGTAGGAAATAACGACCGGTAGACGTCTCATCCAAGGCACGGACGTTTTAATTACAAAAAAGAATAAGATACTGTGGCTCCTTCTTTCCTGTTCTAACAACGAAATCAACGTCAATCAAGTAACTTTGTAACACGCTCAACGAACGCAACCCCTATGTTTAATTAAACCAGTAGCAAAACCACTGGCGTCACTGATGACATGAAAAGTAGATTGGAAGACTAACATGTGTTTTATTCCCTTCACGTGTTCTTTATCATTCTGTTCGTACGTTCAGAGTATCATTAATCCGCTTAGGGTAGTATACGCTACAAAATTACCCATTTCTTTTTATATGTACACTGACAGAAGTAGTTCTGTACTGAAGATTATGTACGTCATTATTCTTTTTGAAGATTGACAGATTACGACATTGAAAGGGAAATTTCATTTATCAAGGTTGAATTGAGATCTTTAGGGATTCAAATAGGGAAACAGAATTTTGTTTTTGGAAAATTGACGTTTTGGAATTTTTGAACTTTGGTAATTTGAGGTATCGGGATTTTCTAATTTTGGAATTTTTTAATATTTTAACTTTGACAATTTGTGACATTGGGGTTTTTTAATTTTAGGATTTCGAAATTTTGGAATTTTGAAACTTTGTGACTTTGCAGGTTTCTTACTTTGAAATTTGCAACTTTTGAATTTTGAAACTTTAGAACTTTAGAATTTGTTAATCTTGGGACTCAATAATTTAAAAATTTTTTAATTTTATAACATTTAGGATTGGAAACTGTGAATTTTGAAAACTTGGAGCTCAGAAATTTTGAAATTTCAGAATTTTAGAACGTTGGATTTTTAAAGTTCAGAATTTTAGAATCGTGAAATTCTTGGATTTACAAATCATGAGATTTAGAGCTTTTAAATTCGAAAATCTGAAAATTTGTGAAATTTAGGAACGTACTAGAAATCTAAGAATTTTATGGCTTTAAAACTGAAAAATTTTTGAATGACTTGACAATTTTCAATTTTGAAAATTAGAAATGTAGTACTTTGGAAATTTTCGAATTTAAAACTTGTAGAACTTGCGAATTTTTAAATTGGAAAATTAAAAAATTTGAAAATAGATATTTGAAACTACAGAAATACAGGAATTTGAAAATTGAAGAGTTAGAGAAATTCGAAAATTATACTTAAATATAAATAAACATATTATTTATCAAGATACCTATCATTTACCTCAAAATTTTAATGTATAAATTAATTTTGTCCGACCCACTATAATATCCATCCTCGAATGCGTCTACCAAAATAGTAGTCAAATACTTTTGAAACCAACTGTATTCCTAGACGTTCCGCTGAGAGCTCGTCCTTCTTTTAATCGTATCAAAGCGAAAGATCGATAGATCGAAAGAGTTGTTCCAGCGTTACTAATTCTCTGTATCCACGCTTCATAGAAGCGGAAGTTCGCTTCGAAACGGCCAATCGTAATTTGTCCGCATCACGTCAGACGAAAGAAAGTCCGTCGTGGGAATTCAATTAATTCTCTTCGATATTCGTTCGTCTCGCCCTGTGCCGACGTTAAAATGCACGAGCTACTACAATCGCTTTCAGAGAAGTCTTTTTTCTCTCCTCCCTCCATCTCCATTTTTTTATGCGGAAATGACTGACGGGATTGTGTATGTTCCTTCCATATAAGGTCGATTGATATTCGGCCTTTCTGAAAAAGACGAAGGAACGGGAGACAAAGGAAACAGCGAAGGATAACGATATTCGAGGGACGATCGCTGTTGGATCGTTGAAATTCGTATCATGGTCGGTACAGCCGTATGCAAATGCACGACATATGTCATCAATATGCGCCTGGGAAGTTAAATTATTCCACGGGATGAAATGGTTTTCGCGGTGATTTCCGACGAACTTGAATGAGGTCATCGATTTAATGTGTATTTCATACGCCGTTATATTTTCCAATCCTTAACTGTTGATTATTAATGTTAAAATCGTGAAACCGTCTCTGTTAGCGAAAAGAAAATTAAACGTTGAATTTGTATAATACTGAAAAGTGAACATTGAATCTGTAGAATATAAAAATGATTAATAGAATTATTCTTTGGTTACTCCTATGACGTTATTTGTACGTTGGAGTATATTTCAATAGTTAACCATCAATATTAATTGGATCCATATGTGTTCAACAAATCGATCGCAAGAGCGGGCATTTTTCTGTTCTTTTCTTTCGTTTTACATTTGCGACCGAACCCCTGCAGCCCAAGTAATGCCTCTGTTCGATTAATATGTGCTCGTGTGTGTATTCATTTTTTACGATAAAATTCAATATACATATACATATAATTAAATATGTATTTATTTCAATCCACTGCACTTTAAACTATGACATGTATAATATTGACATCTGAAAATTGAATCTATATGATACAAAAATAAAGAATAAAATTATTCCTTAATTATTCTTGTGACGTTTCAATGTCAGAGTCCTGGTATGTCGGTCAGTTTCATTAATAGATCTTTATTGTAACTTCTAAATGAAATAGTTGTGTTCCTTTATTAGAAAATTATCAGTAACAAAGAATTGAAATAGAGGTTTGAAAATTTGGAGATTTAGGGGTTTAAAGATTTGTAAATTTAGGGGTTTAGAAGTTTGGAAATTTGGAGATTTATGGATTTGTAAATTAAAAAATTTGTAAATTTTAGAATTTGGGAGTTATTTTGAAAACATGAATTTAAGAATTTAGAAAGTTGGTAATTGGGAAAATTCGGGAATTTAAAAATAAGAAAAGGGAGTTTGGAAACTTGGAAATATAGAAGTTTGTGAAAATGAGAATTTAGAATCTAGATTTGTGAATGTTAGGACTTTAGAATATGAAAATTGGGAAATGAAAGAATTTAGAAATTAACAATTCGGGAATTTGAGAATTTACATATTTGGCAACTTGACAAGTTGAAAATTAGATAATGTGGAGATTTAGAAATTTAGAAATTGGCAAATTTGAAAGTTAGAAAATTTCGGAATTTTGAAATACAGGGAGCTGATTATTTGAGAACATAGAAATTTAGAAATTTTGGAATTTGTTATTTTAAGAATTTGGTTATTTAAGTATTTAAATAATTGGAAATGTGGAAATCTGAAAATTTTGAAACTTACTAATTTTGAAATTAGACTATACCGAAATTTAAAAATTTGTAACTATTGAAGAAAATACGAAAACCTGATAGTGTCCAAATTTACAAACTTAGAAATCTTTCAGTTTATTGTATCTAATAAAACAATTTTATTGTATTAATATATTCAAAACAATGTATCTAAGAAAACAATTCTATTAGAACCTAACTTAACTATAATATATTTTCAAGTAATTCTTCCTTCTAAAAGAAAACCTAACTAATAATTCCAGCATCAAATTTGTATACATATTTATCTTCTTGGTTCAAGCAAACAGTAAACATTCAGATAAATGTTATTTAAAGTACGTCGTTATTCATACACGGACAGACATGAAATATGCGATTAATTTACAAAAAGTATACATATCTGGGGAATAACAACGCATAATTTTCATTTAAATCTGTTACAAACTCTGTGCGATATAAATTTAATATTCAATTCCAATCTGTTCGACTTCAGTGGGTGGCCAAATTATTATACAGAAGAATATTCTTTTTAAAAATTTGCTTACGTAATTTTGATTACAAATGTTATTGATAGTTTAACAATACTATTAACACTAGAACTACCGACATTAAATACTCGTTTATCGAAGAATAAAAAATAAAATGAAAAGGAAAATAAATAAATACTAAAGCATGAAGTAACACATAGAACTCGTTTTTAACTTATAAATTAGTCTTAAACAATAGAACTCAACAAAACATGACAGACATTTCCATAAAATCACGACAATAAAATTTTGTAATATAAAATGAGAAATCTGAAACCAGTCATTTTAACTGGTTGGTAGTTGTAGTGTTAATACTTAATATATTAATAAGCTACAATCTATAGTAAATCTATGAGTAATGTATTAACACATAAATCTCATTTCTAAAATAAATGGCGGATGTTCATATAAGCTTATATTAAGTCCTCCATGTTCCGGATTTCTGTTAGTGATAGGATGAAAACCTTGACTACAATTTAAAGATTATGCTTAAGTATTGAATTTTTACTTTCAATAGCAAGTATCGTTATTAAAAAATTATACGATATCATAACAAAGTATATAACATATTGTATTATTAAAATTATTTGTAATATTGAAAAATATTAAACTTGTAAATTATGTCGCAAAATTATAATAAGAATATCTGTTCTATATCATCGGTTAAGGTTACAAAATATGAACCTCTTTGTTTGAGTATAATTTGGCCACTCACTGTTCGTCGACGTATCACAAGTAGCTAGTTAAATGTCTATCTTGAAATATATTCCCTTTGTTCGACTGTTAATAACCGGGCCAATTTTCAATCTTTCCTTTTGCCGGCACGAAACCTCATTATCGACGTTTCCCGTGTGAAATCCGCCACGTAATCAAGCAAATCGAATTCCATAGGCGACAGGTGTTTGATGCAGATAAACCGCGCAAGGGTAAATTTGTGAAGCAAGCAGAATATAATTCGCTGTTTAATGCATGGACACAAGGAACCATCTATCATGCGCGTTCACAAAGATTTTGACACATTCCTTGCTGATCCGCGTGCCTTTGAATCACATACGGGCCTGAAAGCCTGCTTCGTGATATACCGGTATGATCGATGTTGAAGATTTCCGCCGAGCATATCTACCGCTCCGCTTTGCATCGCGAATACGCATTGTATATCAAAGCTCGCACGATATCACAGAATTAATTTCCGGCTATTCGATCTGATCTTAATCTACCATTTTTTTGCCTTATAAATTTATGCTTTGATACATTAGGAAAATATTTTTTGTAGCCTTAATACTATTTCTACCAAGAGATGTCAAAAGACACCTTCCAAATTTTAACTTATTCTCTAAGTTGACAAAAATTATTCCCTAAGTTGAATGATTTCTCCACAATTAATTTTCTGATTTTTCATACAATAGTTCTGTTCAGCTTGATTTATAAATTCACCTGTTATATGCTACCCAGTAGGCATGATCCCAAATCACCAATATTGTCAAGTTTTTCATTGTCAAATATTTTATAGCTATTAACTTTTTAATGAACAATAGTTAACGATTATGTTATAGGGAAAAGTTACTCAGGAACATGTCTTTAATAACACATTTCGAGATCAATACATATTTACCAATATTTGTACTATAAGCAACCCACAAGTTGGCACGTAGGAAGTCGACAGAGTAAGAGTAACCTACGCTACTAGGTCGCACCGCCTACCCTGAAAATTACCTTGAAATCTAAGCCCTTAGGCTTTTGAATAACATGCTAATAATATATATCAAGGTCAAAGTCATTGGACCTGAGTCCCATTCTGTAAATAGGAACAGTCGAGAGAGACTTTATTACTTGAGCCAAGTAATAGAGCCAATGTCACATTGCATATCCAGCATCTCGCTTTATGCACGTAAATACAAATGAACATGATCGAGGGAAAATTATTAAGGTTATCGATATTATAGAGGAAGCACCTGTTATTGAGGTGAAATTGCCATTGGCTCCTCGTTGTATACTAAAATTATCGTTCTGAATTGACCGCAAAATGTGCATTACGTTGATGCACGCAGTTGATATCCGAGCGCATGTGATAACCTGGATACCACTAAATATCGTCTGATGATTATTGCATGCAACATTTCACCGTGTAATACGTACGGAAGATAGTACACGCGGAATCGCTGTGCACCCTGCTGTTTTTCATGCAGCCAGTTTATGGCCCATTTTGAGAAATATATTTTACACGAAGCTCCAGCGCTTAAGATAACGATAATTATGGTTTTAGAGGAATTATTAATTCCATCGCTGTTAAGGCTAACTACACTCGTCCACTAGCTAAATGCTCTTTCTATGTTACAATAATGCGTGCCATCTTATCTTCATTTGAAACGTTTCAGAAACTGGAAATATAAAATGTGTTATACGTTGCCATAATTCGTGATCCACTTTAATGGTTTACGGAAATGTCAGAAATAGGGTGCGAAATATCTTCTTGTCGTTTGTGTGAAATTGAATTGTTCTTTGAAATTTTCGAAAATATTCAGTAATGCTGATATATCGTAAAAGATTAATATTCCAAAGTTGCTTTAGAAAGTTCAAAATATCTAAATTTCAAGATCTGAACTCCTCAAAATCTCAAATTTATAAATCTGAAAATTTACAAATAGTGATATGTGGCAATATAAAGAGTCTACTATATTTAAATCCAGTTTGTATGTTATACATTTGTCAGTATTTAAACTGTGGTTATCCTCTGTTAATACAATAAAATTCATACTATAATATTAACACGGTAAATATAATAAAATTAAACTAATTATTCGTTAAATACAACAAAACTAATTCGTATGCTAATTATAGTAATGAGCTCATTAATACAATAAATATAATAAAACTGAGTTAATTAATACAATAAATACAGTGAAACTGAGGCAATTAAATACAATCAATACAATAAATGAAATATAACCAAATAGTAAAGCAAATAACGTAATTCCATAGAATAACTCGCGTTACAGAAATTATGCATATACGAGTTTCATGCTTGTATAGCGTGAGCATTTTCTCACTAAATATCGTTGTAACGAAAGGGTTGAAACAACAGAAATGTTATCAGAGGCTCATTCTCCTAGTGATACTTAAACCAAGGGAAAGAAACGCAATCACTCCTAATTATTATAATTGTACCCATAAATAGAGGGTTTCGTAACGTAAACTTCTGTCTTTCCACTTTCTGTACCATAATTCGCCGTTATCTAAATTTCATCTGAGCCGTTCCCCTTCGAACAAGAGGTAAAGGGAGGCAAGAAATAGCTGAGAAACTTCTGCACGCTATTATAAATGAAATAGTACACCAAGAGGGAAACATGAAACTTCGGTGACAACATTTTCAAACGTTTTATTAAAAAGTATATAAATGGCAAGGCAAGAGATACAAGAGTTGTAAACTTTCGCTTCTGGATGATAATACTGAAAAGTTATGGTCGATGAAAATGCCTCATGTGAGTCGTTTTACATGATCTGTTTTCTGTCGGGAACTCTTGATGAAACCGAGGAACTCCAATTCGGCGACTGCTTGAGTGAAACGGGCTCTGAATTTTTAGGTTAAGGATATTGTATAAGAGTAAATGCATGTATAAGAAACTGAGTAATACTAGTACTATCATATCAGTCAATATGACTTATAATTTTATTTTTGAGTTATTTTAAATTTATAATTTCATTTAAAAATTATTTTTATGTTATTTAAAAATTGCAATTTTGTTTTAGAATTTCTATATCATGTTGCATTTTCTTATTGCACAATGAACTTTAAAAAAATGACTACATTATCAAGTTCTGCAATTTTCAAATTAACAAAGTTACAAATCTTTGACTTTTAAATTTTTCAAATCTCCAATTTGTAATTCTCTAAGTGCCCAAATTTATACATTACTAAACTTCTATATTTCCAAATATTCTAATTTTTAAATTTCTAAGTATACAATTTTTCAAATTTTTCATGATTTTAAATTCCTCAATTTTGAAATCCCTAAATACCTAGAACACTAAATATCTAAATGTCCAGACATCTCCACCTGTAAGTCTCTACATCTCCAAATTCCTAGATTCCCAAAGTCTAAGCCCATCCTCAATATTCAAATACCTAAAAATCCCTAAAAATCATTGAACAGCTCTTTTCTGTTGCCTACCATATTTTCCCTAAGGAAAGTAGATTTACTTTCGACCGTACACGTGTGAATTATTCAAACACGAGGCACGCGAATCCAACGAGTTACCTTCACGTGACTAGGATTTCTCCATTATCAGTTATAGATATGAATTTCAAACGCCACGTGGGTAGACAAATCTTTGCTCTCTCTGTTATCTTCGAAGAGTTTGAACACGAGAAAAAGGATACCGTAATTTTGCTTCCTTCTCCTGGTGCTTCTTCGACTCCTCGTTGGGATCCACTATGGTCACGTATGCCTGTAAATGTAGTATAAATCACTGAATCAGAGATTTGTTTTCGAACGATTTTGAGTTATTGTTTTTGTACGTGTTATGATATGAAAATATTAAATGGAAGGAAATGTAATAGTAAAATTTTATTATGTAACTGTGTGTGTACGTTTCTTATGCAGAATACGAATGTGTGTTGTTAACCTAACTATTTTGGCGAGTGTAACTCTTGCTTCGTTTTATTATATTTTCCAAAAGACTGAAAAATGGAAACTGTCAAAATTGAAAATAAACCTATCAAATTATACTTCAAAGTTCCATTCTTCATGAATTTAAAATATCCACTAATAACAAATATATAGTAAAATTAATAAAGTAGTAAATATATAATAAAATTATCAATCAATACTGTAGTATAAAATTTCAAGTTTCCCATAATTTTGATGAAATAGTTTAAAGTCCACATATAGCACAGAAACTCGTAAATTTATAAATTTATAAATTACCAATAATTAACAAATATTTACTTAAAATTTCTATATACGTGAATTCCTAAATGTAGCAAATTCTGCAATCTTAGATATCTTTCCCAACAAAGAAATAAATAAAAATCACAATCCAACAAAACATAATAAACAGTAAGAGAGAAAAGAATGTATATCTTCTCTTGAGAATTAATCACAATTAGTTGTATGTCATCACAAGTGGTTATACTATATATCTAAAACGAGGCGGTGATGCGTTAACAGGCAATTTACGAAGATTAATATCAAACTACAGCGTACTGCAACTTCAGAATCTCAAGCTGCTACTACGACTATAATTTGCAACCACTCGAGATTAATTTGTAACCAAGTGTTCTCTGCTCTATGCAACTCACATTTAACTTCCAGTAAAGTTATACCATTCGTATAGAAACAGTATACATTTGTATGTTGTTTCAAAACTTCCAAGAAATGAAGACTGCTTCCACCCAAACCTTTATAACGCAATGCAACTTTGTAATCACTGTGCGTTAGTAATCTAAAACTTCCATTTCATTACTTTTACCGTCTCTTTCGAACCTAGGAGTTTGTTCATAACGTAAGTGATCTTCAAATGTAAAAATATTACGAATAGAAGATTTTTTAACACTTATCGAATACGATAATTATTTGAAAATTATTATATTATTTATGGATACAGTTGTTGGGAACGTTTTTAGGTTAGAACCTAACATATAATTTAAAATTATTAACTTAACTTAAAATTGTACGAAGGTTTTAAAAAAAGTGCATAAACTCATTATTTTGACTATATTGAAACTATAAAGCACTTCATATTAATGTTTACAAAAATTAATTCGTGGCTTTGCGTTAAATTAAACAAAATATCAATCTCATTTTTATTCGACAATCTCCTGCAAAGTTAAGAATAATAAAAGGTATTCTTAAAATATATTAAAATCAATTTAAAAATTTTTCATTTAATGTTGAAAAACAGTATAACATTTACTTTTTATTTTTCAGCAGGGTTTTATGTTTGTGCAAATTTAAAATAAATATTTGGAACAAATTTTACCGTATACATATTATTTGCAACCATTGCAAACCATTTTTATATATTCCATAAAATATTGAAATCAATATAATATTAAATTGTCCTTTTCTGTCAGCATTGGCATAAAATAAAAAAATAAAATAAAAATGTAATGAAACTTCACCCTGATGTTAACATTGTCTTTTCTGATAATAGTCTTAAATAATTGTGCTGCTTTTGCTCTCCAATTTTTCTTACGAGAAAAATGTTAGATACTCCATTACAATTTAATTATTAAACAATTAAAATACTATATTATTTTATTATATTTTTTTACAGTTAACTGAACTACAACAGTGCTGAAAGATTAAAATAAATTCCGTTTTAACAACTCCCAAAATCCTCTGTACCACTAAATCTTTTACAAAGAAAATTATCTTAAAGATGTTTTACAAAGAAAATTACCTTAAAAAACCTTGCAAATCCCTAATGAATTAATCAGCAGCTCACACTGAGGAAACAAGTGATTAGTCACGAAAGCAGAGGAAATTAGGTTACAAAGTTTTGCACTAAAAAAAATGATTCCAAGCTTCCAGCAAAGGAAAACAAACCGACTCGACCCCGTTCTAGGAGGTCTATTTACAATGTTAGGCTCGCGTGAATCGTTCCCGATTAAAATCACGAGAACGAGGGAGTGAAAGGGTGCGTGACCATAAGTGTAATCAGGATTAACCTGTAAACACGAGCACGAACGGATTGTTACCTGCAGCCAGTCGTACATATTCATCAGCTTGCCGGATTCCAAGTGCAGCTTGTAAATTATACTGAGGTCGGGCATCGTAGGCAGAATGGCGTCGTCGTTCTCCAATTTGCAGCAACTACACTAAAATATGTATTTCCAATTAAGTTGGACACGCACGACATTGTTAACTTGTTCGGGAAAAATCGATAATCAATATTGCTGGAAATTAATGACGGTCTATACATAACTGGATAAGAATTAACCTTTAGTACTCTGAGTAACTAAGCTTGATACTGGTAAAGTAAACCATCCCGGAAGTTACGAAATAATAGGTAACTTTATTAGTGATTTTCTTGAAAAGTATCACAGGAAAGGTATTTTTAATAGGAAGAGATGAAAGTATTTGTCATATTTTTTAAATTTCGAATTAAGATTTTAGAGGCGTAACAAAATGGAGACATAGGACATAGAATTTGTGATAAGGTGTACAGTTGCAAATTTGATGGAAATTTTTGAAGGGTAAGGTAGAAATCTGTAACTGCTAATTAAAACTAAGTATGTTCAAATTTGCTTAATATCTACAGTTTAATAAGATTAAACTTGTAGAGATTTAATAGATGTGTGCTTAATTTGTCACTGAAAATTTGAAATTTTTATATTACGAAATTTTTTAATTTGAGAGTCAAGAAGTACATAAATTTGAAAATGTAAAAATTTGAAATTTCTGTATTCATAAATTTAGTAAATTCAAATTTATAAATCTATAAATTTTCAAATTCATATATTTTTAAATTTGATGTTTATGTTTCTAAACCTGTGAATTTATAAATGTCGAAAGTTTTAAATTAGTAAATATTTAAATTTAAAAAATCTGTTAATTTTTAAATTTTCAATTTGCTACATTTTCAAATATTTAAACTTGTAGTTTAGAAAGCAAAAATTTTAAATTTCTAATTTTTCAAATTTTTAAAGTAGTAAATATCTAAATTTATAAATTGTTAAATTAGTATTTCTTAATTTGAAAACCTAGTTTTTCTAAATTTTTAAATTTATAAATTTCTGAAGTTAAAAACTGAAAAGATGGAAAAATTGAAAATACAAACACCTGGAAACTATAAATCAGTAAAAATTAATATTTCTAAATTTCTAAATTTTCAAATTCCCAAATTATTAAATTATAGCAAACATTTAATTTGACTATAAATTTGAAGATCTTAAAAAATAAGCTAATATACAGTTTCACATTATACATACCTTTTCAGAAACAATTAACATCATTTTTCTGTAAGACCTAATGAACATAAAGGAATAATTTAGCACTTTTTTCCACTCACGTTCAAGTACACCTGCGGATCGTTCAAAGCAGTGTGTATTGCAGCTCTTAAAGACCCACGAATGTGTTGTTTCGCCAAATTGCCATCGTTAAAGCAAAATATCTCGTTAGCTGGTACCAGATTAGGATTAATTAAGTAAACACCGAATACGTGCTGATCCAAGAAACTGATTACATCTATTTGCGCTTGTTTAAAAGGTGATCGCAACTTCATTTGAGACATTTTGTACAATTTCTACAATCAAAGAAAAATTTTTAAAAAATTGTAAAATCACTGTTGAATTTTTTATACGATGAATTTGATTTCAAACCGTTTGTAGTTGGACTCGAGTCAGCTTCTCATTGCCGGAAACGATATCTGCAGGTGCTGCATTAACATCTAAACTTGCTCCTTCAATAATTGTTACGTGTTCTTGGAGATCGGCTTTAAGCTTCTTCATAGCCGAATCGTTTGACTTATCGATAATTGTCAAAAGGGAATTTAATTTGGAGAGCAACTCTTTCTTCGATAGAAAACCCAGAAGTTCCAAACAATTTTTGTATTCGCTACATTCTCTCAGATCCTTCACGTAAACTGCTTTTACATAGAACTCACGTAACTACAATCATTTTACATTTGTTCGTTTTTTTTCTTAAATACCTGTATGATTTTAGACTTTCGTTATATTGCCACTCTTACTACTTCGCAAAAGTACAAAAACTCATGAAAATTAAAAATTTATAAGGTTAGAAATGCTGAGATCTGCAAACTTTCAAATTTAAGAATTTAGGGATTTAAAGCTCTTAAAAATTTAGAAATCAATAAGTTTAAAAATTGAGAAATCTACTAATTCAGGAGAACTCGAACTTAAAAATTTAAGAATGTATGAGTTTAAAAATCCAACAATTTTTTAAAAACTTAGAAAAACATAAGTTCTTAATCAAAATAATCTCAAATTTAATGTCAAAGTAAGAACTTTGGCAACAGAATAAACTGCCTGCTCTATTGTAGCAACTTTGTCTATATAATGGCAATATAATGAGAGTCTACTGTATTCAGTTTCTACCTGTTTGCCCATAGGTGCATTTGGCAGTGTTCCCAACAAATCATGTAGACATCTAAGCACTGTTAAAAATTGATCCATATACTTGTGAAATTTGTTTAACAATTTTGCTACTGTTCCCTACAATAAATTTGTCATTATAATGTTTGAAGTGGATGAACAATTACAACTATACCTTGAACTTTTCGTTTTCTAGTACTTCTTCATTCCTTTCATTCTCTTTTAACTGTTGGATATATTTTTCTATTGAGGGTAATTTTTTAATCTCCTCTAAATCTTCATCTGTTAAAGTGGATATTCTACTACTTATTTGCTGTGGTTTACAGCAAAGTGAATTTACATTGTTTGCATAAAAATGTTGTATCATACATGTCTAGAAATATTAACAAAAAATAACAAGTGTGGATGTCTGTTAAAAAGATTATCAAAGATGTATGCAAAAAGTAATGAAATGAAACAAAAACTAAATGAAACTAATACCTTGTAATTTTGTATGAAGTTCTCTACGGATAAATCATAAAATAAAAACATATCTGTTAATAACTGAAATGCACGGCCAGTCAATTTAAACGGTATTTCCGTACAGAAAATTATATTTTCTAATACATCCGACAAAGTATTCAATTGTGTTGGCATGTTGAATATCTGAATAAAAAGTGATTACTGTTTCAAGAGAAAATATATGTACCTTTTTATGCTAACAATTTTGTAATCTATCTGTTGCTCACATGAACATATAATTTTGATGTGGCATCATATGTTAAACATCTATAAATGGCATGTATGGTGGTCGCAACACCAAATATAAGAATAAATTTCATTGTACTTGAATATTCACTGTAAGAAACATGTGATTAATAGTAAGACTACATCATTGTAATGATGAAATTCGAGACCACCTTATAATACCTGAGTATTAAAATAAAGTCATGTAATACTGCTGGAGATGCACTTTCAAAATCAGTTATAATTATAAGAAGTGGATCATTTGGATTGCAATTTTTCTGATGCCAAGAGTTTAAGACTCGCATAGTACACTGATTCTTTTTAATCGATCCAGCTTCATTCTAGAAATAAATGTATCATAGATTCTCCTTGAATTTCTAAATTATTATTTGAAAACTAATTAATCACCTCTTCCTCGTTTATTAGCTGATAAATTGATTCCTCTAATATATTTTTAATATTTTCTGTATCTCTATTCCAAATAACTGCTGTGTGTTTTGTTATCGATTCTAATTTAGAAACTGTTTTTTGAAACATTGCTTCATGATCAGGAACATTAACTCCTATAATACAATGATGTTCAATGATGTATGATATTGATCAAACAATGTAACATCATGCAAAATGATGATTCCCATAAATATTATCACCTGTTAATATGACAGCTGTTTGTATTCCATCTTCTAATTGTTCAACTGGTGTTTCTTTAATTTTAGAAACGAACAATTCTAAATTTGTTAAAATTTCTTGAAACATATTAAGCCTAATGTCCTAAAATTTTATACAAAAGCATTGATGTAACAAAATATATGCATATTAAACATATGTATATATAAGAGCATTTAACATAGAAATAATACCTCAGCTGCCTTTTGAATGCTACTCCATGTTTCATCGTAAGCAAGATACCATGGTTCATTGAAATAATCTACCGATTTAAATTTTTGAGATTTCTTGCCAATTTTGTAACTACCTTTATATGCAAAAACACCCTAAAAATATATTTTGAATTAAAACTACTATGAAATATCAAACACAAATTTTTATAGGTGATTTTTATTATGATACAGGACTACGAACAATGAATAAGCATTACTAACTAATAACTGTTTCATAAATCCTAAGTTAAATACCCACACACTATATTCTGCTGTGTAAAAAGATATGAAATATAATTTACATGAAAAAGAAATAAATTTAAGAAAAAACTGAATCAAAGATTATAAAAAAGGTATATAAACAATTAAGGTTGCTTCACAATTCAAGTGTTAATAATTAAGATTATTTTACAGACTTTATTAAAGGTTCTTTATTACTAAAAGATCATACATTGTAGTTTAGTAAACAAAGAGCGCGCGTATGCATTTTAAGGTTATGGGAGTAGGAACAACAGGTTGCATAGTACCTTCGACACTGAAGCGTTGTTCATTTTAACGCTACTTAACTTTACAACACTTGAATATTAATTAAATAATTTCAAATCATTCAAATAACTACGAATAAATTTATGATAAAAAAAAATACGAAGAGAACACATCACACACCGGCAGTTTGCGCGCAACTGTTAGTTTCTCAGACGCTCATAGGTAGCGCTGTTTACTGATGACATTCTATAGGGTGAGAATAATCAAAATGATTATTCGTTTCTATCAATTTTCGATATGTCAATAATTTTGAGTTTTCTTTTATAAATTTTTCATTTACAAACTTTATTGCCATTTTATATTAAAAATTCATATTATATTTCAAAATGAAAATATTATGAAATAGTTAAAATTTATTAAATGCAAATTAAAAATTTATTTATTAATGAAAAAAATCATTTAAATAAAAACATATTTTTATTAGATAAATTTCTATTTTCAGATTGCAATTATTTAAAGGCAAACGACAAATTATTTTAATTTACAGAAAATTATAATTTTTTAATGGTTAACTGTAAATTATTAAATTAATAATTTTATATTTTATGATGGTTCAGTAATGTAACTGAAAATGATTAAGATTAGATAAAGAAATGTAACAAATTTTTTAAGAATAGTCGCTAAAGATATGTCAGATATGATTAATTTTAATATTGATATTGTTATTGAATTGAATTTAGTATTTGAATTTCTTCGTCTTCTTGGAAACTACGTACCTGCCAAAATCATTCAAGTCTCAGACTGTGTAGGTGCCTCAGAATAAAAAAAGAAATGGATAAGGAAAATTAAAGAAAAGGAGAACGTGGAAAATTATAAGCTTGAATATGTAAATATTTATTCCTTCGTTTCTGTTTTACTGTTTTATTTTTGTTACCATTATTAAAAGGTAAAGAAGAGAAATTATTCGAGGTACCAAAATGTGTACCCCTTTATGAAGAAGGTTGATGCAGTCCACTAACCGTTTTCGATCAAAATATTCTTTCGTTGAAAATAATTCTAGACCGGAAGAATCGAAGGTGTCAGAAATATCTGTGCAATAAAATCGACGAACCTCCAGCGCTGTTTCAAACAACAAGAACAAAACCGCCATGAACGGGGACAGCAATGAATAAAAATGTGCGCGTTAATCATTCACAACGACAAACGCCACGTACAACGATCGAAAAATCCAGACAAATACGTTCCATTTAGCGATCAATAGCTCCCTTGATCTCTGCATCGTTTTGTCCCCGACGTCCCTTTCAACGAAGGCGGATGATTAAGTCGTCGATCGAATCCCATTTATTTTCGACGAGGGAACCCCTTGGGGCACAGGTGCGATGGCCGACCACAAAACGAGAACATTCGTACAAAGCTGCTTGGCGCGATCGATTTATATTCTCTGGCCAAAAAACCCTACTCCCTCTCCTCAGGGTTTCGGTTGAAAGCAGACTTCCGTCCCGAATAATCTCGGTTCCGGTGCCGATTGCATGGCCGTTTACACAAACGCACGAACGTGGATGTATTTCAATACATTGCCAGGCAACAGGCACGGCAACGGCATCTTGTTTGGACACTTCTTTAAATCAATTACGAGTTTCTGGCTGGCAAGTTCGCTGGTGTGAGTGGATCTATTCGACGAAAGTTTGACGGTGCACCTCTTGGACCGCGAAATGCAGCATCAAACTCTCGGTTTCCGGATTGTTTGCTCGGCCTCGGCGAATTCAATCGGCGCATTTGCGATTCAGATGATGATCGTGGCAGCTTACGCTCGTGAAATTCGAATATCGCGATCGAAATTCTGGCTGGTACGTTCGATTTTGAAAATTCTACCCTTGCCCCGGGTTATTGACTGACTAGGAACATTTTTACTACCTCGTGCAACGGGCCAATTGATTCTGATTGAATTCGGTTCATTGTGATTCACTTACTGAACTTTGACCTGATAACGTTTCGGTTAAATTAGTTATTTATTTCGGTTATAGAATTATTTATTTATTTATTTATGGTTTACAAACTGGTAATGGTACTTCCTGACGCAATGTAATACAATTATTATAGAAATAAAATAAAATCAAATATAAATTTCAGTTGTCTAAAAGAATTGTATGTATTAGGTTGTTGCATATGAATTGATTGTTGAACATTAAAAGTCTGATACATTTTGATGACATCAAACTAGAAATTAGTATTTATGATGCAGATTGATTTGAAGCTTGAAATCTTAATGCCTTAGTATAATCTCTTTTAGTATAAATTGATTGATTATCAGAAAATCATCGTACTGTACAATGCGCAAAATGGTTATTTATTGATGCAATTAATAAACAACATATCAATGCATAATAATTGTATGCTGAGTACATTAAATAAATTTTTAACAAACGTTAAATTTCAAATTAATGTAATACAAATACTACTTTACAATAGTTTTATGTTATCAAACTATTGTCTATTTTAGTTATTTTGAAGTTGCTATTAATGACAACCAGCTATTTTGAATTTAAAATATTACTAAATCGTTTACGTAGCCATTTTCGTTAAACCTTAAGCTGCAAACGGATGTAATGAAATACTGCACTTTATATGCAATAACTGAATATACTTTTCTGTGTTGATTACAATTTGAGGTGCTTTATTATGTATCAAGTTTATACATTAATTCATTTTATTCATTATGTTACAAATTATTATTTTTATTTGCTAAGTTCATAAATGATCTTATTTATTAAGATTATTGAATCTCTCTGAAGTTTCAAGATTTTACTTTAAATTATTATCGAAATCACAAAAATAATGAAATTAATTTGAATTACAAAAGTATTCATATTTAATAGTCACAAAAATTTGTTAACACACTTATTCTATACTTGATGTATAACTTTACTATTTAATTTTAATTAATTTGTAATTTTATATAACACACATTATAAAGATTATAATAACATATTATATCAAATTACAAATTATATTATAAATACAATAATGACAATCTATATTATAATAAAATTTTGTGTATGTATAACATATTGGTATAATCTTTGCAACCTTAATAATGTAAGTCACATATAACTACAAATTTTTTAATATTTAAATGTTCATTCTTTCTACCGAAAAGGTGACTCACAATTCAACACAAACATTTCAAACAAATATTTTTTTAACTAAATCTACAGTCTCAAGCATGACCTATAGTAAACACCAGTAACAAATTAATTAATTGTAAAAAATAGCTGTAATAAACGAGTTCATGAAACTTTTCAATTAAAAAAGTTTGAAGTTGCTACCCTGTGTCAACAAAAATACTATGAAGTTCAAAGGGTTAAAATCATGTATTAAACATAGAATAAACGTGTTAGCAAATAGAATAAAGTACGCAAATAAACTCTGGAAGGCACGTTTACTTTTATCTGTGCCCTTGTGTCGTGCAAACGTTACGATTTATATCGTCTACTCGATCACGTAACGTATGCATTTACATGCAATATCAACGAGATCGATCACACCACGGTAACGATAGAGTCATTCTCGGATATGTTTCCGACCAAATCTCGTAAAATTCGTAGATCCTGTAAAAAAGAACGATTCAATGCGGTTGAACGAATGTAAAAACGAGCTTGCGTTCGGTGACTCGAATAAGGAGGGTACGCTTTCGCTGATTCTGCAATAAAACGGTCGGTTACCTCGTCATCAAACGCAAAGAAACATGTCCACCAAACCACTTGTCGAAGTTATTGTTAGTTCTATAATGGACTATTGCAGATGGTGAAGAAACCGGATTATCGAAGAGTACCTTATGGTTAGGTGAATTAATCATTTCAAGTGATAAATGATTAACTAAACAAATTTCTTTACATTTTATATTGATAGAAGTCTTGAAACTTGTTTTTAGCTTGAGTTTTTCTCAAATTAAGAACTGTTCATCTGTTACGTTTTACTTGTTAAATTACATGTATAACTGCGATAATAAAATGTTATAGTTTGTTTGTTATAACAAGCTTTAAAAATGATCTTTAAAAGCAGTACTTCTTACAGTGTACTTTAAATCGTTTTAAAGGCGTTATTGAAAACATTGCTATCTGAATAATCAAATTTTCCTAAAAATTCTCTCGTATCAAACCATATTGTTTCTAATATTCGAAATTGTCCTTCGTGCAACCAACGAACGTCATACAGAACGAAAAATCGAAATAATAAAGGGATTGATGGCATTGTAACGTCCCACAAAACGGCGCCGTAAAACCGGCCAAAAATCGCAAGTAAAAGAAAACAAAAGACAACAACGACGTACAGCGTCAAACGTATTACTTCCTCTCGCATCAGCGCCAAAAACCGAAACGTAAAAATCCAGCCAACGAGCTCGTCACCGGCCAAAGAATTTTATTTTCCGACCGCAACGGGAACGCGGACTACAACAGAACAACCAGCGTGGAACAATAGAACCGAAAAAAGAAACCGGGAAAAAGGTGAAGCTTAAACTAAAAGGAAAAACCGACGTGGGGCGAAAAAAGTTCGTCGCGAAGCTACAAAGCTGGTCTCTTTATTATCTCGTTACCGGCTGGAATGTCCTCGTAATCCTGAGCTTTTTCCAGTTGCTGTCTGCCGTTGGAAGCGCGATAGCGTAGATAGAGCGTTTTGCATCCGACAGAGAGAAGTTCAATCTCGACAGAAAGGAAGAAACAATAATAGCTTTCATTACGAACACCGTCATGAACAATCGGCTCCTGTTACGCGAAACGCCTTTGCCGAAGCGCCAAAGAACGACTTGCTCCTCACGTTTCAGATTATTTGAATTTATTTAACTCTCGTTCCTTAATTTAATGTTCTGAAGCTGCTGTGATCCGATTACATTGTCCAACTGATGGTTAGATTCGTATGTACTATGAGATTGTAGTTTTGTATTTTATTTCTTGCTAAGGTGTTTTGCTTTCTGGTTTCGTGAACAAGATGGCGTCGAAGCGAGGCTCCTTTCAAAATAAAAGTATACTATATTATGTATAATTCGATCGTTTATTGAACCCATAGTTTATAAAATAAATTGGAAGAGTGTGAGAAATCTTTTTTTAAGGGTTATTTTCATACTTTTAAATTTCTAAATTTCCAAGGTATTATATTTTCAAGTTCTTATATCAACAAAATTAGAAATATGTATATACTCTGAAATTTCTAAAGTTATGATCTTTTCAAATTTCTGAACTCAAAAGTACCCATCAATGATAACAAATAAACCTAAATTATATATATACATAACCTAATGTATATTAATAGGTTAGGTTATACTATATAACTTAATGTATATTAGTAGGTTAGGTTATATAATATAACCTAATGTATATTAACAAAGATTAATTTTTAATTATTAAACTATCTCTTATTAAAAGACCTAACCACTAACGCATTTTGATTCCAATTACATAATTTGTTACTATCTTAACAAGTAAACCGTGACTACAAAAAATTTCGTTTTCTTTTTCCAGCAAACTTACCAAAGACTCTGGAGAACCTAGGAGACTCAATTTCCTCAGATCTCGAAGGTAATCCACCATTATGGGTCACCAGGAGACCAGGCACTGACGGCGAAGACATTTACATAAATAACGCAAAGGTCATCATAAATCGGAGCAACTTTCAATCGAAGGTCACAGTCGATGGCGACATAAAAACTCAGGTGAGTGTTAATTTCCAAATTTGATCATGGTTTTTCCGTTTTAAAGTACGAGAAACCTCGGCAAATCTCTGTGGGACCCTCTTGGTTTGTTCAGTGGTTGCGGTTAATTTAACCGCAAATTACTTTTTTACTAGCGTAATCTACCTAGCAATTACGTGCTGCTTTGCGTGAACACGACTGTCGGCGTACTAAACGTGATTTCCTGGAAAGTGTGCTCAAGAAGTTCATACGCTACACCTACAGAGCCTGCAGCCCTCTTTTAACGAGCTTTTAATGCTATAGATCGCATTTAGGTCGTGTATGTCACTGGCTCGTTGCATTGATGGATATTGATAAGTTTGTCGAATATGTTCTCCTTTATCACGAGATGTTTCTTATCGACAGAATGTTTGACTTGCAAATTAGAAACTTGAAAGGTGGAAAATGGAATTACGTATTCATAAATCATTCGTTGAACTGCTTAACATAAATCATTTATTAATGTTTCTGGTATGGAAAGTTGCGGGTGATAGTAAACAGTGATAGATTTCGAAATGTATTATACATGACACGGCTAAATGAAAATTTTTGCAAAATAGCAAAAGTATGTCATTATGGAGGATTTAAATCTAATCACATTAATATTAATTGAAAAGTATTGTTCATAATATTCTTAATATCGATAATTGTTATTGAATTTATTTTTATAAAGAAATTTATTGAAATTTTTATTTATTAACAAAACTGGAACATATGATGCAGTCATGATGTGTAAAGTAACAATATAAATATTATTAAATTAAATTAAACATAGTTAAATATATGTATTTATGTTTAATTTATGGTGTGCAGATGTAGTAAAATGTATCATTTCATTTACAAGTTAAGTCATTTTATAATATCAAATATCGAACTATTAAATAATATTAAATATTATATAATAATTATACAGATTATATAAATTATATAATTAGAATATTAATACCAAATTAATAATTTATATTGTATCTAATATCATAAAATGACTCCACTTAGTTAAATGAAATGATTAACTAATGTTAAGTCAATATTATGTCGGCCATCTTGAAATTACAGATGTTCAAAGTGGCTGACATCAATACAAGTTTCCTCTAATATTTTCACTATTATTTATGCTTAATATTTAAAGAGTGTATACATTTTATTAGACATCACGTTGTTAGAGGTTAGTAATTCATTCTATTGATCTTCAATAATAAATGTCATTTATATTTTGGTAAGTTGAAAGACAATCTTTTCAACTTCCTGAAATAATTCCAGAGGCTTCAATTTTGAACAACTTGAAATGATTTCAGATGCTTCAACTTTTAATCATTTGAAGTAATTTTAGAAGTTTCAATCTTCAACTTCTTGAAATTGTTTTATAAGCTACGACTTTCACCTTCTTGAAATAATGTCAGAAGTTCCAGTTTTCAACTTCTTGAAATAATTCCGGAGGCTTCAATTTTAAACAACTTGAAATGATTTCAGATGCTGCAACTTTTAACTATTTGAAGTAATTTTAAAGCTTGAACCTTCAACTTCTTGGAATAAATTCAGAAGCTCCAACATTTTACTTTAACACTGAATTTACTGGTATATGTGTGCTTAAAATTAAAAATGGAAATGAAAATCAAATAAACAAACGATAAGACATAAATTAATATATACATTGATTCTTTACCTCGACGAAAATTAACAAATATTTCAAGAAAATCACGTTAATACATTGTGTAACTTAAATTGAAATGTTTGTAAAATAGTTATTTGACAGTATTAGTAGTCATACTATTAATACTAAACCAGCATATGATTTAAACTGGCAGTGAAATTAAAAATAAAATTGAAAAATAAATAAATAAACGACAAAATATAAACTAGTGTACACATTAATTTATTATTTTAATAAAAATTAATGCGGATTTGGGGAAAATTTCCTTAACAAACTGTGTGACTTGTAAAATGACTCGTGAAGAGACTTGCGAAATAGTGATTTGACCGAATTGGTAGTTTTACTGTTAATTAAAAATTCGTCAAAGATTATGAATAACAATAGTTACATAGTATCCATACAGCTGCAACGCAATCCTATCAGCTCTTAACCTTGTCAACAGATCTCCTTAGTCTAAGTTCATTATCTTCTCTGATTCCCTCTCCATCATCCGGAAAACTCAAAACATAAACTACACCACTGAAATGTATTTAGAAATCCAGGAAAAATATGATAAACTAACCAAAGACAACAAAATTGTAATCATAGCGTGGGTTCCTTCCACATAGATATCTACGGAAACACCATGGCCGACCTTCAGACAAAAATTGCAGCGACTACAGTCACAGAAAACCAGCCGATATTAAACATCTCTGCTTACATCCATAATCATATCGCGACACTACTAAAACAGTCATGGGACTCTACATGGAGAAAATACAAAGCCAGCTCAACCCATCAACAACTCGACAAATTCTACGATTTAAAAACTAACCCTAGACACAATAGAAGAAATCAAGTGGCAGTAACCCGAATTAGGACCGAACACACCAAATTGACTCACTCATACATACTCGAAAACAGTTCCCCCAGGTGCTATATGTGCAACACAACCATGACCATCAGACACATAATATTGGAATGCAGAAAATATAACCTCGCCAGAAGAAGATTAAACATCAAGAACAACCTCATTGAAGCAACCACGTCAACAGTGTATCAAGACACATTACTAAAATTTTGTAAAACTATAGGAATCCTCACCCAACTATGAAAAAGTTATGTCAAACCATCCACTTCCGACCATAACCTTATCTCCGTAAACTGATCAACAGTCGCTAATGACCTGGGTAGTTGATGCGACTATAACCCACTATTTAAAAAAAAATAGTCACAAAACATCAATTCACCTTTTTCCATGTTCTCGTTGTTCAAATGTCTTCATCTTATTACGAGACAAGCGTGGATCTCGTTTCAATTCGAATCCTTTATTCTTTCAGCGAGTATCATCATTGATGAAAATCGTATAGCGGAGCGAATCTTCGACTAATCTCTTCAACGCTCTCGTTCGTAGATCAATCTTCTTCTCTTTTCTCTCGTTCCTTTTCCCCTTGTTCCATCTCTTGGTAGTATTACAGAAACTTTTCTCATCCACTTAACAGAGGAGTTCTATCGCAGCCGATACTTCCTACTCGTTCGGTAGAGCACAAGAGTATCGAATCATAATTAATGTAGACAAAAGTGGGCTAATCGAATAACTTTTTACATTCCAATTCGTAGAACTCCCGGCAACTACAGTTTCTCGATGAAGCCGAAACTTTCTTTTTCGTTCGACTGATTAACTCGTTGGAAACAGTACCTTTTTCATTCCTTTTAGTTTCGAAGCTGTTGCATGAAAATGACCGACTCGCGTATTGACAGACTGTCGATAGGATTTTATGCAATCAATAACTATGTTCAAAGATTTGGATTATCGTCGAATTATCAATTTCTTTTTGGGTGAGATTGTAGGAAGCATACAGGGTGTTTAAGTTGCTTGGTGTAAAACTTAATATTTTAACTAAAAGTTAAAAAATTTGAGAAGTAGGACGCTTGGGAGCTTAAAACTGGAAAAATTTAAAGGTTATTAAACTTGGAAACTTAAAAGTGTTTAAAATTTGAAACTTCGTTCACCCAAAAATTTAATAGAAATTTTGCAATATAAAAATTAGCAAATTTATAAATAATCAAATATGAATCCTCGTTCAAGGGTTGACTACATTGCACTGGAGGATACATATCATCACTTATGCACCCCACGTTCAAGGCCACTTAACGACCACCCGTTACATCCACGACTTGTCGTGTTATACCCTTGTTATCCTGGGCACTCAGAAAAAAGCTGAAATTGAATTGGATTAAGGTTGCTCGGCTGAGACGAGTATCGTGGATGCAGGAATATTAAGGAGAATACAGCAGTTAACGGGCTACCGGCAGACAGCGTGGAATCGTATAAAAATATTTTCCGACTTATTTAAACCGCCTCGCAGTTACGTTCTCGCGTTTCCACGGGGGTATATCCTCCGAGGAACACGAGATCAACGCGGGAGCTCCGTAATAACTGACAAAGTCCCGGTGCCGTTAACGTTTACGATCTCGTTGCGAACTACATCACACGCCGGACGATCCTGGGCGAAAAAATACTCCGAGGAAATTCTTGCTGGCTTCGTTATTCAGCGAAGGGAACAGAATCCCGGGGATAAACTGGCCGAGCTGGAGAAGAAACGATAACACGGGACGGCCGCGAACGCGAGATTATCCATGAATCTAAAAATGCCCCGGAAAGCGGAACACTAATTTCACGACGCGATATAGTGGAAAACGGGTAATGAAGAAAATGTTCGTTGGCGGAACGATCGAACAACTGAAATATCGCCCCACTGCGGTGGTGATGTAACTACAGCTTCACAAATTTTGGGGAAACCTTTTATTTCTGATAAGTTTGCTCTTTTTATTGTAGGAGCTTCATAACTTCTCAACATAAAGATATGATGATCTAGGAGTATTTTAGCATATTTTAGATTTCAGCATATACACATTTACAACTAGAGATATAAATATATATGTACATATGTAATAGATATGAATAGTTGTAAATGTATATCTCTAAATGTATATCATGTGTCTCTCTAAAGTCATAAACTTCATCGAATAAATGTATGAATCTATATAATAATTTATTAAAATCGACAAAATATATGCAGCAGTACAATCACATAAATGTATTATTTTCATTTATAAAATCATGAATTATCCTAGTGGTCTGTCAAAGGAAAAGGAAGATCTGTCAAATCAAAGGCAAAATTGAACCAAATGCAACATCTATTAACAACATTAATATTTTTGCATTCGAAACCTGATTTATTCTAAAACTTTTTAACAAACATTGAATGACCATTATTTTACAGAAATGTCCGCATAGTTATGTTTAGACTAAACTGATTTATTCTAAAACTTTTTAACAAACATTGAA